ACACCTCTGTTCTTTTTTTGGTAATATTTTATTTATTATTTTTATTTTATGTGTATGAGTGTATCGCCTGCATGTATGTGAGGGCACCTGTGTCGTGCAATGCCGCGGAGGTCAGAAGAGGGCTTCGGATTCCCCTGGAACTGGAGTTAAGGACGGTTCGTAGTCACCATGTGGGTGCTGGGAATCGAACCCAGGTCCTCTGCAAAAGCAGTCAGTGTTCTTAACTGCTGAGCCATCTCTCCAACCCTGTCACACCTCTGTTCTTTACACTGCTGTTTGAGGATCAGGGTGAAGATAATGGTAACGATTATTATTCTTCAGAAAACTCTGACAACACACAGACAACTAGTAAGGAGCAGAGTCTGGATTTGAACCCATAACTTTCAAACTTGTGGACTACAAAGGCTGCTCTGAACTTTGGAGGAGTTTGCTTGCAGAGGAGGCAGAGCAGTAGGAATAAGATCCACAAGGTGCCAACAGCTCTACAGACCACACTCATCTCTCACGGTGCTGTATATTCTCTGCAGAAAAATTTTAGTCATATATTTGCCCCTCCACCCCCTCAACAACCCTCGAAGCAATGAATGACCTGAGGGAGAGTACATCAGCCTTAACAGTCCCAGGTTCTAATGTTCTTTCGGAGTCTTTCTACCTTTCGATCATCCATACACAGAGGATCTCCATCTGTGATCAGTGTAGACGTGTGAGCAGGCCGTGACCCGGTCAGTGTGTGTGTTCTAAGAGCAACACTCCATCTCATTCATTGAATGCCCCAGGATCACACAGCAGTTTAAGGATTATAACATTGAACATCACACCTTTATGAAACCTTGGAAAGTTGATGATTTCTGTGTCTCAGTTTCCTTAGCTGGGGCATGGCCAGGTCACGGCCTGATCATCAACAACTTTTTTTTATGCGTATGTGTATAATTGCCTGCATGTAGGTAAGTACACCTGTGTCATGCAATGCCTGCAGAGGACAGAAGAGACTGTCGGATCCCCTGGAACTGGAGTTACGGACAGTTGTTAGCTGCCATGTGGGTGCTGGGATTCGAACCCGAGACTTCTGCAAACACTACTCAGTGTTCTTATCCGCTGAGCCATCTCTCCATCTCCGATCATCAATAACTTTAACCACCTCCTATACTTATAAAGTAAGGACGATGTAGTCATTGTCACTACCTAATAATTTTCAATAAAATTGGAAAGCATGTAAACCTGAAAGTTAAATAGGGGGAACTAAGGCTGTTACAGAAAAATCAGAGACCAACAGCCAAAGTCAGGTGAGGAGAGGGAGTTTTCCTAATGGGACTGATACATAGATCATTTGTAAAGATGTCACCCCCTCGCTTAAGTTTTTTAGGGTCATTTATACTCATATGTGAGGAATGCAAGCAAAAGGTAAATTACAGGCAACATGTGGCTGCAAAGGTTACAGGAACATGGCAGCTTTGGGAAATAAAGACAGCTACCCTGGGTAACGGTAGGGGGTGGAGGATTCCTGTTCACCTCTCCCATTTCTGTCTGGGGTTTTTTCCTGCTCCAAAGTTCTTAATTACCATCACATTGCAAGAGTTTTAGCAACCATCTGTTGTGTTTTCTAATTTCCATTATAAAGCAATTACAGAGGTCAAGAATATACTTTAAATGCACAGACTAACAGGAAAAGAACTAGAATTGAAACTGGGAAGGACTTTCTTTATAAGGTCTGGGCCTTGGGCAAGCGGAGCAGGGAGAGTAACTGGGAAAAGCCTGACCACCAAGCAAGCTGTGACTGTCAGTCCACCTGGCTCTGTGATGAGGACTGGCCCAGAGGCACAGCTCCAAGTCAGTGGACAATCCAACTACTGGGATAAAAGGAGTTAGGTTTTAACATGGGGAAAAGAGCAGCCCTCGGGGGCCGATAGAGGATCCTGGTCAAGAATGGAAATTCTGGGAGATAGATGTTCCAGCCATAAGCAGCTGACCAGTTTCCCTTCTCGTTATGTGGAGGTTTATGAGGTCTCATTCAAAGTTGGCCTAATGCTGGTGGTAAAAAAAAACTAAGAATATTGAAGAGGAGAGTTTAGCTTAAGCCACTGAGTGAGCATCAGATACACAAATAGGAAGAACAATGCCCATGTCAAGAGAAAGCTCCAGGCACAGGAACCAGAGTTGCCTTGGGGTGAAGGCATCACAGGCTGTGGCAGGCAAGAGAGTCCAGCCGGAAGCAGGCACTCAGATAGAGTTCATTTGTATCCACAGAGGACAAACAAGTTTCCTAACTGTGTGGCACCAGGAGAAAGAGAAGAAAATAATTTCCTGTGGGACTGAGAATCCTGCCAGAAGGCAGCAGTGGGTTTCACTTTGGAGGCACCTGAGAAGGGAACCTGGACAGAAACAGGCTCCGGCCTCCTAGAGCAGACTAAAGTGAGGCAAATGGCCTGGGGTTCAGGTGTGGTGGTGGCACTGGCACTAGCCCACAGTCAGGTGGGACATTACACTGGCTCACGATGAAGTAGGGGGAGGGAGCAGAAACACCATGTGTTCTTCACTGAAGTCTGGTAACCTGGTCTCAGCTCATCCTGAAAGATCACAAGGCAGTTCTTACAAGGAACTTCTCAGTAATCACTGAAAAGGCTCCAAGCCTCTCTTTAGAAACAATGCCTTTCTCTCATTCATTCATGAATGTTGCAAATTACCACACATACTGTGCATCAGGCAGCATGTTAGGATGAATGTTTAGAGAACTGATGGCTATTGGGACAGAGTAGGAGGAGGATCTTGATTCAAGTTCACAAGAGGTGTTCCAGTTGTGGAGCCTGTAGGTGTGGGGGTCTCTCCCTCTCCTCGTGGGTCATTGGCCACCAGTCCATGAGGACAAGGGGAGCAGAAGCAACGAGCGGGGTCAGGACAGCCAGTGAGCACTGAGGAAAGAAAGCCCTTCCGGGGAGGTAGGTTCAGTGATACAAACAGCTCCAGACTCAGTGACACAGCTCCGTTTATTCAGTGGGGATTAGGGAAAATATAGTGTGGAGGCAGTAGCCAATGCTTCAGCTGATAGGTGCTCATAGTATGCTTTATTTACATATGGCAGTAGGCTCCTATCATCCACCTAATTATCATATAGAAAAAACCTGGGGGTAGTTTTTACTCCAAGTAACTATGCCAAAGGTCATGTTAAATGAGGCCAAGCATCAGTGCTTGGTGGCACTTTCCAGGTAAGGAAGAGAGCAGGAGGCCCCCTGCTGAAAAGGGGAGTCCTTCCATTTGGTACCGAGCCCCTTAGAGCTATCCGGACATGGAGGACTACAACCCTAACAGCAGGGTTTCCCAACACGTAGGTACAACTAACATTCAGGTATGTGTTTGGGGAGGGGAGGGAGGTGTGGGTTGAAGAAGAGGCACCATCCACACATGCATTTTAAGGTAATTTGGATTTTCTGATGGTCACACCCATTAACAGATAGTGTTCAGAATGCAGTTCTGAATCAGTGACATCAGTTTCATGTTAGGTTGATCACAGGAAATTGCTGGTTCCAGGCAGGGCTCAGGGAACCCTTGCTCTTATGTGTCAGAAAATGTAAGTCCCCATGGCAGAGAGACTCCTCAGATTATGACCATCGTGGAGGAAGGGTATACCTGGGCAGGTGCTTAGTGATGTCTCACCCAGGCCACGTCACTGTGCTACCTAAAATGTCCTCCAGAGAGAAATCCACTGAATTCAAAAGAGTCATTTTAACATTGGAGGTTTTTTTTTCCTCTCTCAGATTTTGGCCCCCGGAGATCCCACTGAGTATAGTATTTTCCTGCCTTCTTTGACTCTGTACTCCTGGGGTCTCTCAAGGGCCAGACCTGTATGCCTGTTCAAACTAATGCCATTCCTATGGTGAAATGTGTTTCCTCCTCGTTTAGCAAATACTAACAGAGTGTCTAATATATGTCAGATATGGCTGTCCCAGGAGTCCTCTGACAAAGCTTCTTTCCCTGGCAAAGGGAAATGGTTCTGAGGGAGACACTGCACCATTTCAACCTCTGACTCTGTTGGCTTTCAAAAGCCTCTAATCCAAACTTCCCATGCCCAGCTAATTGAGTCCCTTATCTCTACCTGTGAGAATTCATACCTTCTTCTATCTTTTGCAAAGCTACGAATACCTACAGTTTATCCCCAAAGCTATTTCAAGCATCAAACTTTATTCCTCCTTCAGAGGTTTCATCTTGGTAACAGTAAGAACTCCCCACAAGTCAGAGGTCTTCCTGTCTTCTCACACTGACACATTCATGGATGCCGTGGGATGAAGGGAATCAGAAAAGGCTTCTGGGTTTTCTGATGGAGGCCAGAACTCAGTTGGGTTGGGAGGGAGGAAATGACCACAGTCATCTGGCTGGGTGGAGTAGAGGGAAAAGGTAAGCCTAGAAGAAGGAGTAACATTAGCAGTTAAAATTTTCAGAAAGGGGGGGGTAAAGGTGTGGTGGGGGAAGCAAAACAAGTTTGCCCAGATTAGGCAGAAAGGGGTGGGGCTGGGGGTGATATGTGAATAATTCTGAATGTATATTGCTCCTTGGAGTTGAAAGATGTAAGAAATTTATATAAAGTTCTAAATCTAAATCATCCGGACAGCCTGTGGAATCAGCTAATTCTGTATTTCCAACACCCTCCTTCACTAGGAGTCACCGAGTACCCGTCGAACTCCTCTTTCCCTTCCTTTCACATGTTCACATGAGCACAGTATTCTGCCCCACAAAATACAAGGAACACCCACCTCAATAAGGAAGACAGCAGGTGTTGGGGCCACCAGAAGACTCAGACCTCCTCCAGGGTTACCTCATTAACCCTCCCCAACACAAAAGCATGACACCTGGGACTGAGGGGGAGGGTGACCGACGGGGGAACCTAGGTGACATCACTGTCAGGCTGTCAGTGCCATTATATCAGCTGGGTGGTTTCCATCACAAAAGCTGAATCAGAAGGTGATTGAGAGGGGTAGGGTGAGTCATGGGTGACTAGTCAGAAATGAAAACAGAGTAGCTGGGGCAAGTCTATTTCCTGGAGATGCTTGCCTTATAAAAGCTAGCTGGCCGTTGTCTTCACACAAGACCCAAGCTGACTGACAGCCTGATCTTCTCTGAATACTAGGTAAGTCTCTGGTTGCAACTGATTTGAAACTCTTGTTCAATGTTTTATTATGGCCAATGTGGGTAAGAAGGTTGATGTGGTATAGTAACGAGAGTTAAAGAACAGTAGAATTGCTGTTTGAGTTACAGCACAGTTTGCATCTGAAGGGGACTTGAGAGTCGGTTCTGCTTGTGACCTTGGTGGACAGCCATAGAGTCACTGGAGGCCAGGGCAGGCGAAGGAAATCCATTCAAATGTCCACAGGAAGTTCACAGCAGGACATGGGCTCAGGCTCAGGTCCAAAGAGCTCTCAGCAACCCTGCAGTTCTCTCTAGTATACTTAGTATAGAACTTGGATTCATTAAATGGATCTACTGAGCATTTATCAGACCAATATGGAATTTACCAGATTTAAAACCTTACAAAGATGATGCATGTACGATAGAGATGAAATGCATAGACACCAGTTGATGCGGGAAGCATGGGCAGGGAAGGGCTGGGAGGTGGGGAAGGCATTGCTCAAGGAGAGCCTCGGGGCAGTGGCTTGTGATGTGATCTATGATAAAGGAATGTTTGATAAGCAGAGATGGAAAGAGAGGAAATTATACAGAAAATTTTGTGGTCGTAGATCAGAAAAGCAAAACCATATGAGCATAAATTAGCTCAAAGCCATCAGGTAAGTCCCACTGACATTTGTTAAACAAAGAAGTTGCATTTTGTCTCAATTTGTGTGATGCTACTTTCCAGAAGTCCTGATATGTAGGCTCACATGCCTCTCAGAAGCCAGCATTCCTAAGACATATTATTCTCTGCTACTTTTAGCAATGATTTTGGTTAGCATCTAAAGATAGTGTTCACTGTGACATTTTCATATGCATATGCCATGCTCTGTTCTTTGCACTCCCTTCTTGGGGGAATTTTCAATAAGGCACATGACTGGACCAGGGAGAAAGGGAGTGAAGGAAAGGACCCCTCTGAGATGGACCAGAGCAAGCTGCCTTTCAGTGCATTTCCTTGAAAGAGCATAAAAATCATCACAGCATATTTTACTTCCAAATGTAGAAGTCAGCATAGAGAAAGAGGCTCTCTCCTCTAAAAGATCCTGAAATGAAATGTACTTGGCATTGAACTTACCTCCTATTTCACTGAATCACTAAGTCAACTCTTCTATCTCCAGGACCAAGCTCCATAAAAGCATGAGTTCCCACCAGCAGAAGCAGCCCTGCACGGCTCCTCCTCAGCTGCAGCAACAGCAGGTGAAGCAGCCTTGCCAGCCACCACCCCAGGAGCCATGTGTCCCCAAAACCAAGGAGCCCTGTGATACCAAGGTTCCTGAGCCCTGCAACCCCAAGGTTCCTGAGCCCTGCAACCCCAAGGTTCCTGAGCCCTGCAACACCAAGGTACCTGAGCCTTGCAATCCTAAGGCTCCTGAGCCCTGCCATCCCAAGACACCAGAGCCCTGCCACCCCAAGGCACCTGAGCCTTGCCATCCTGTTGTTCCTGAGCCCTGCCCCTCAGCCGTCACTCCAGTTCTATCTCAACAGAAGACCAAGCAGAAGTAATGTGGTCCACAGCCATGTCTCCAGGAGCTGATCACAGGATGCTGAGCCTCCCAACTTTCCCATTCTGCTTATGAGTCTCATGGCCTGTTGTCCTCACAATTAACATGCTGTGACCTTCAGTCCTAATTCCTCCCTGTGGCCACAAGCTACACAGATGTCCCTCACACTCATTCTAGAGAGCTCTCAAGCCATTCAACATGGCCCAAAATCTCACTGAGTGGCTCATCTTTTCATGACTTGGGCTTCATGGGGAGGGAATCAAGTGGATTTTCCCTGTTCTTCCTCCATTAAATCACTTTTAGCTCCATACCTGGCTATGTGTGTCACTGGCTGATTCAGCTGTCATTGCCTTCTCAATGTGAAGGCAGAACTAGCAAAGGCTGGCCTATGGTTCGAGCATGAGTGCGTGTGTGTGTGTGTGTGTGTGTGTGTGTGTGTGTGTGTGTGTGTGTCACTGTTATATACGCAGGACACTCTGGTAAGCATGTGCAAGGCCACCCAGCGTCTATTTGAGAAGCCACAGCTGCGGCAGGGTTTTCTTTCATCTGAGGAACTTTCAAGAGTGTAGGGTGCCCGCTTATTCTGTTCAGTTGATTCCCTGAAAACATTTTCCAAAGAAACAGTTTTTGTTTGTTCATTTCTTTGCCTTTATGACATTCCCCAACACATGGTGCAAAACCCTGAAACACATTCATATCACCAAACACACATCCACCCCACACAGGGTAGAATTCTTGACACAGATATCGACACACAGACACTTCTATACATAGGTCTCCCAAATTATATGACATACATGTATAGTCTTCACTCTAACTATGTCACTTTAGTGAGTTTTCAAGTGCCATTGAGCAGCACCCGAGAATTCTTCCTGCCCCAAGAGTCCCCTAAGAGAGACAGTATTCACCCTCTTTCTGTGCAAACATGCACTGTGCACTATCACAAAGATATACTCATCCTCTGTCCATCCGTCTGTCTGCCTCTCTCTCTCTCTCTCTCTCTCTCACACACACACACACACACACACACACACACATACACACATACACTCACATACATGGCATTTCTTTAAATAAAACAAAAGCAAATACATCAAATGCAAAAGGGAAAAAAGTAAAAAAGAAAAATGTTTAAGCAGGTTTCAGAAGACAGATTAGCACAGAAAAGACAAAAAGCATAAAACTGAATGTGAACAGGTCAGGATAATCTAAGATGTTGGGGTAAGGGGAAATTAAAGAGTATCTGGTTCATCTTCCAGAATCCCAGCATGGGAAGGTAATTCCCTAAAGTCACCCAGAAGTCACATTTCTAAATCGCTGAGCCCAAATCGGGGCTCTTGCTTCTGGTTTCCCTGCTGCCATTTTTGCTGATTTCCCTGGGTCCCAGAAGGTCTGGGACAGGGAACTGACTCCAAAGAACAAGAGCGCTTTCCAGAGATACTGCAGTGGTCCCTGGGAGGGGCCCATTTCATAACAGGATAGGTGCTCCACAACTGAAGGCCTGTGTGACAGGAGACAGGTAGCACAGACCTGCATGGTGCACAGCACTCTGAATTTGCAAAGAGGTCGTGGATATTTGGAAAGTAGAAGACAAAAATTGATTACTAAGGTTTTCAATTTGCATAGTTGTTAGACTGGCAGGAGAGAATGAAGTCACTTGATGAAGTGACCTTAAATTATGGCTCACCGACAGGATGGAAAATGTCATTAACATCTTTAGGAATAGTCAACATTAAAAGGACAGGCTTTGGGTCGGGACTCTGACCGATAATGCCAGATTTCAGAGGTACAGAGTTAAATGGTTCTTGGGGGGCTGGAGAAATGACTCAGATGTTCTTGCAGACAACCTGGGTTTGATTCCCAGCACCCACATGGTGACTAACAACCATCTGTAACTCCAGTTCCGGGGGATCTGTCACCCGCTTCTGACTTCCACTGGCATTACACAATATGGGTGTACTTACATACATGCAGACAATACACACAGACACATAAAAAAATAACAAATAAAATATTTTAAAGGGTTCTTGGGGGTTCAGCAAAATCAATCAAAATCCTTAAACCTTGGGATGCTGAGGCAGAAGGATCACAAGTTCAGCCTACTATAGAGTACATTTAAGGCCACCCTCAAAACTTAAACATGAAAGTCATAAAAATAGTAATGGGAATATAATTCAGTGCAGAGCACTTGGCTAGCATGGGTCAAGCCCTAGACTCAATACCAAGCAGCCCACACATAACACACACACACACACACACACACACACACACACACACACACCCTCAACTCCACTGGAAACTAGTCATTCCAGTATACAAGTACTTATTTATTAAAATAAACATTTCAGCATTATAGGTAATATGAAAAGATGAGAATAAAGCATCATTCCCAACAGAGAATATTATGTTCTTTTGTAACTGAGTGCACAAACATACTATGATCAGACAATTATATTTATTAATATGGAAAAATGCCCGGACTATATCAAGATAGTGTAAAATAATGTGGTATGTAACATAATTACATTTTTGTACAGAAAGAAACTGACAGTAAATATAGCAACATGTAAACAGGGCTGTGTTTGGTTGTTGAGTAAAAAGTGCTGGTCATTTTATTCTTTGATGTCTCTGTATTTTAAGTACTGTCTAACCCATAAATTGGAATTTATTTATATATATATAAACTGTATATATATAAAGTATATATATATATATATTGCTTCTTTAAATCCTTTCTTTCTTTTGGTCTGTTTGAGACAGGGTCTTCCTGTAGCCTCAGCAGGCCTGGAGCTCCCTATGTAGACCAGACTGGACTTGAACTCACAAAGATCCACTTGCTTCTGCCTCCCAAGTGCTGGGATTAAAGGCATGTGCTACCACGCCCAACGACTTTTCTTTTTTATCTCAGCCTTTATTTCTCTATTAAAATAAAAGGAGCTTTTTATCTGACTTCTGGCTGTTATAAAAAAATACCTGTCATAAGCAAACTTCAGACTATGCCAACTATGAATGGAAGAGATAGACATACAGCCTGTATATAATCAAATTCTGTTGCTGCATTTTTTCCCTAAAGTATCTCTGATTTAGGAACATGATCAATTGATCTAATCTATCCTTTTCGCAATCCCACTTTGGATTCTCAGCTTAGTATGTCATTCTTCCTTAATCCTCCTTCCCAGTGACATCTATCACTGGTTGGATGAAAATTGGCTGCTGTCTAATCTTGGGGAAATGTGGAAGAAAACTGTGAGTCAGAGGCTGAAGGGTTGACTTTGTTGGATTTTTATGTATCAGGCTAAGTGCTTATGCTTTGAGATATTGTTGATTATGTGCCTTTTACTGTCCAATAAAATATCAGTTGGAAAAATTTATAAACCACCTGTAACTCTCTTCTGACCTCTGCGGGCACTGTATGGCACAGGTGCACTTACACACACACAGGCAATACACTCATACACAGAAAATAAAAATAATAAATAAACAAAAAGCTTTAAAAAGAACTGTTCTATGAGGTTTCGCACCAGGCTGCAGGCTGCAAGCTCCCAGTTTCTGGTTCTGAAGAATCTCTTTCCTGGATATCTATGCCCAGCACCTCCCTAAACTGTTTCTTCTACTTGCACTTTATTTACTTGATTCTCAGGCATGTTTCTCTTCTTGCTTTCCTTTGCCCTCTGTCTATTATGTCCAACACCCACCCACCCCAGCCACCTCACACACGTCCCCAGAATCGAGTGGCTAGCCTGGGCTTTGGGCTCTTATTTTGTCTCCTCTGCCACTTGTGTATTAATGGGCACAGCTCTCAGATGGGTCAAACTGCCCTTCACTCCCATGTCACACACACACACACACACACACACACACACCATCCAGCTGGAATATACACTTTCACAGCCAGCCAAGCTGAATGTGTCGCTCTTCACTGGAGCTGCTTGCTGGGAGCCTCCCTTTTAGAACTGTCGCTCTAAGCTCTGTTGCTCATAATGTGGTCCAGACCAGTATCATCAGCATCACCCAGGCTCTTGGTAGACATTCACTGCCTGACTGTACCCCATGCAGACTCACTGCAATAGGATCCCTCAGGAGAACCCCATGCACAGAAACGCTTCAGAGGGTTGGTCCACATGTGGCCCCTGGAGAAGCAGAAGGGGGACTAATTGGAGGGAGCTGACCAGCAGGAAGGAGAAGAAAAGTGGTGGGAGAGAAGGGTGAGGGCACAAAATTGAGCCAAGCACAATAGGATATGTGTGCAGATATTGTGGTAGGCTAACTTAAAATTGGGGGGATGGGGTCCTGCCTTAGTTACATCGGGTTTTCAAACTACAGCAAGAGCAGCAAACACATGTCTTCACTCTCGAAGCCATATCTGAGCATGAGAAAATTTGTCAGAGGAGCTGTGGCCACTCCAGAGAAAATATTGTCCCTGAGAATTTCTTTTGTATTTTCACCAACATTTTGTTGTGTTCTGTGAAGACTCAGCTGTGCGAATTCCACTGAATTATTTTTAATCTGACTGTTCATCTTGGCTGTGCATGGTGTCACACAACTGTAATCCCAGCATTCCAGGAGTAGAGGCAATTTCAAGTCTCAAATTCATTTAGGCTGCATAACAAGACCATGTCTCAAGTACATGCACACACACACACACACACACACACACACACATTTTAATCTTCAATTAACATAATCATCCCAGCTTATTAATGCATAGTTTTATTATACCAACTACAAATAATGTGTTCCTTGCAAATAGGAAAAATTAAAATTAAAAATAACAGTCTTTCAGTAGTAGCGATTTCATGAAAAAGGATTTTTTTCTAAGATCCCATGATCACAGTGTCCTAGGTTAAAAGAACTGGACTGTGGAAATGTGCCATAGTTGAATGTGGATTGGTCAGAAGGCTCTGTTCTACCCAGTCACCCAGTGTGACTCAGGCACTCTGTCCTGTGTAGTTCCAGCACCTTCCAGGTCTTTCCACTTCACACTGCTATATGAACCTGAAAAAGGTGTGGATCTGGGGCAGGAAAACTTGCTCCTGTGGCCCAGAGGTGATTGATCTCCATCACTGTGCCCACATTCCGTGGCAGAGAGTGTGTGTCTATTGCCCTGGAAAGGTATAAAGCATGTCTGTGCCCGGGAGGGGGAAGAAAACACAGATGTCAAGGAGTTTCCAAAGCTGGAAGGTATACAATTGTGTACCTTCCCCCTTTTTTGTCCTTCACAGAAAATACCTCCTGCCGAGGTGGCCGTGACAAGGGGTCAACTTCTCATCCTCTACCTCATGAATTGGGCACAGACTTTTGC